CCTGCCACCCGCTCTGTTTCGGGGTCCTCGCCCTCTCTCTCTCTCTCTCTCTCTCTCTCTCTCTCTCTCTCTCTCTCTCTCTCGCCCTCCCCGCCCCCGCCACATAAAACCGCGTCCCTCACGTGCACTACGACAGGCGCCGTCGTGTGCGCTACGCCTTCTCGCTCCCTTCACCCAACTCTTGCCCAACCCTCGAGGGAATTAATGTACTCGCCTCGGAGCGCAAAGCCGCCACCGCCACCACTACCACCACCGCCACCGCCTCTGTCGCCGTCGCCGTCGCCGTCGCCGAGTTTCATGTACGTGCGTGCCAACGAGTCCGTCAACTTCTTTCCTTACTCGCCTTTCTCGATCCGCATCGCTTCCCATCCCCATCCTGCGTCCTTCTACTTCTCTCTGCTCCTTATTCGCCCGTATGGGGGCACGCTTGCACATTAATGCAGTGTAAAATACCGGACTGGATTCTCCTTAAATAACGATCATTTTTATCAAGGCCAAAGTGCTTGGCGTTGAGGAAAATTGCCGGCTTTTCGTGCGAACAGAAGCACCGCGCCGCTTTAAATTATTGCCCGCGAACTACTGGATATTATTCGCCCGTGCGCATTCATAACTGAAATTTGGCAGACTAACAAAATGTACTTGGTTAACTTTGTTAGCTCCCCCCCCCCCACCCCGTCCTTGTTCGCGTATGTAAAATTATTTTAAAATGTGCCTCCGCGATAGCGGAATTAATTTTGTTTTTCGTTTCTTCCCATCTTTCTTTCACTTTCATTTCTTTTTTTTTTTTTTTTTTTTTATTAATTTTATTTCTTTGTCTCTCATTGCTTCTCTTTATTTCTCTTTAATAATAATAACAATAATAATAATAACTGCGCGTTTTATTAAGTCAGCGTAGCTGGCGAACACAATGTTTTCTAAACTGATACAACCGAGATATTTAAACTTATTTATATCTTTAAAAACTTTTTCGCTCTACTTGTTTCAAAGCGACTTTGTTTTAACGATTGTTAAAAGCGGCGCATTACCGACAATATTCTTATAAACTAATTTGCTATTGTACGTATAAGTTAAAATAAATCATAAAAATTCTATACCTTCGTTAATTGGGAAAACATTCGGGACGTGTAATTACAATACGTAAGGATAACTTTCGTAAGAAAAGCTTTTCTCCCGTACTCTCAAGCACTCGGATGCATCTCCTTAGCATATCAGAATTAACTAAATATTAGTTACGCTTGAGTCATGATTAAAAACTTTTCGTAAAAGCCCCGACAGTAGTACAAGCGAGTAAGTTAAAATTACTCCCATCGACTGGTTTTACAAATCGCCGACGCGTATACCTCGTCGGCAGCTTTTCCTATTGCCTTGCATTCATTTGCAACTGACCGTCGGCTGCCGTATGACAGGAAAAATAAGCAATGTAATTTAGCACGACGTGGCGGAATATATCGTCGAACTTTTAATGCCAGAACTCGAAGCGCGCGATTTATCGAACTCAACTTCGCGGGGTTTGGTCTCAGCTGCAGACTCGAGCCACCCCTCCCATATCATCATCACCGCCACCACCACCGCCACCACCACCGCAACCACCACCACCATCATCCACCTATAGAATGTGCAAGAGTATCGAGAGTCGGGACTAAAACAGCTTAAGCGCATCCCGCGCTTTCTGCTCATTATATATAATTCCACGCTGCATATCGAGGGCTTCCAGATATAACTTCTTGAGAAAAACTTGGCCAACTACGGTCCTCACTTCCGATACTTTTCCGAGCGAGCTCAGCTTTGATATACAGGCAGCACTGATTTGAGCCATCAACCTCCAGACAGCCGAGATTTATTATTTAATTAGGCCTGCTCAACCGTACACCCAATATTATTTATGCATTACTGCTATTTCTATTTGATTGCATAGAGAAAGCTTCTCTTATCGATTTAACATATACTTCGATTCTATTTCTTATCTTTATTGTGGACAATGTGAGTTTTTTTTTTTTTTTTTTTTTTTTTTTTTTTTCGCCAATGTGGTTAATTGAATTGACTGACTCGAGCATCCATCAAGAGATAAATAGGATGCCGATTACGATTATATGCACAGACAAGAATTAAGCGATCATCGATACTCTTTCGCTTTTCAATTTATGTCTTATTATTTCATTTGTTCGCTCTGCCAAACTTAAGCTCAAGAGTTAAAGAGGTAAACACAGAGGTAAATTTAAGAAGCTAAAACTGAATTTTTATTTTATATATATATATATTAAACACTACCAAAGTTATCAGTATTGTCCCGTATATATTTCTTTAATTTGTTTTAAATATCTATAACATTTTCCATAATAATAGAATAATAAAATAATTTGTGTAAAAATATTCTTAAAAAATATCATTAAAAATAATTAAAGATATTTTCATTGAATTACGATCGAAAATTTTAATATATACTTCAATCACACCATAAGCTGATTACTTGACTATTATTATAAATAACAATGAAGTTATTTTTATACTTAATAATGTTATTGCGCTAAATATTATTGTATTCAAATCAATTGTAAATGATCGCTTTGTTCAATTTATTTTCAGTTTATAAATAAGAAAAAGTGGCTTTGACGTTCAATATTTTATATGGAATATTTGCGTATATACATTGAAGCAGAAAATTGTCGTACACGATCAGATAAGAATAAGAAAATGTATGTTGCATACCACGTTAATTCTCATGTGATGAATTTAAAATGAATTTAAGTTGATGCATTGTTCAATGTGAAGCAATACTCCATATATAATTAATGTAGAGAAACGATTGCCGATATGGTAAATCGACTACATTTTCAAAAAAGTATTAGTTTTTAAGATAATTTCAAGCGCTATTATCATTATGCGCATTATAATTGTTGTTTTTGTCGTCATTGTTATTAATTAAATTAACGTTCTCGAACGTAGCTTCCGTTAAGATATTCACGTATGAATGTTGAAGTCCTAAAAATTTATCATAATAAAATCCATTTCCCTCTCACACAAGCAATATTATCATGAATAATCAATTAATTATCTAATTCAATAGTTTAATTTTAAATGAATATTTTTCTATGAGTTGAATTTCTCTGATAATTTTTTACCGAACTAATTATTTTTATAGATTATACAATGATTGTAAAACAATCATTTTTCAATCATAAATACAACGAAAAGATCAATGGTTTCACTTCGTAAAATAGTTATACGATAATTGTAATATATACATGAACTATAATTTATTATTGCTTATAATTATATATTATATGCGTAATATATATATATATATATATAAGACTAATTATATTGGCTAATAATTCAATAGTATAAAAATATTTTTAAAAAGTAACGCGTACATATCAATTATATTAGATGTTATTTAAAATGATTATTAAAAATTAATCTTTTTACTTAATATAACTTCAAATTATATATATATATATATATATATATATATATATATATCGCTACATTTCATAATTTCTTTACTTTTCTAATTTCCATTTTATAATTTCTTTACTTTTCTAATTTCCTAATTATTGCTATATCTAAATAAAAATATCAAATAATTTCATATTTGATCTTTTTCTTCAAAATCTTCGTATTATCAACACTGCAATGCCCCAAAGTTATTATTTTATTGGTCAAATATGGGTATATTTGTGAATTTGTCAATTATTAACACGACGTCATAAGTTGATGAAATTTTTATTTTGTTAAAAATTCCTAATTTATTTATCCTTTATCTTCTTCAATCTAAACATATTTCCATTCTTTACATATTTAAACGTTTAACTTATATTTATCGTACAATTCTGTCTTATTATATCATACAATAAATTACAAACTTTGTTTACTATTAATACCTTACGTATTATCTCTAATATACATATCCAGATCTTTTATAATGCTAATGTAGCGGACATATGGTTTTCCTATATATATATATTTTTTTTTAATTTAAAAGTATCAAATATTAATATAAACAATATATTTCATATTATGTATATATATCAAATAAAATATTCTATTATTCCTATTAAAAAATTGGGTAGATTTTTAGTTAAATAAGCACATTGAACGGTACATAACATAAATACATTCATTTGGGTCTTTATTTAAACTTGAAAAGTTTTTTAAAAAAATTAATTGAAAAGGCCTGAAATAAATATGTTATATATAAATATATAATTTTTTTAATGTCCACTGGTGTAAATTAAATTGCATTAACGCTTAAGTACGAGACCGAAAAAGGCGGTATTTATGATATTACGTATTACGTTGTGTGCAAGTACATTGCAAAATCGTTACTCCTAGTGTCTCATTACGTCACGCAATATGTCATAATCCGAACAATACTTTCTAGAATTCTATTTCTTAAATTTTAAATAAACAAACGTTATATGAAATTCTTAATTGATTCCATTTTTTTTTTTTCATCAAAATTTTACATTAATTTTATTCCAATTGTATTAATATAAATGTTCTTTCAGAATCTGCTCTACAAATTTTCTCTATTTTAAATAAGCCACTTTCATTTAGTTATTAGTATCGAATATTCAGTCTATTAGTATCGAACTTGCATGCATTCTCAAAAATTAAAAAAAAATTAACTTTAATAATTCTAAAAGAATTTTTAACTTTTAGATTTTGAGGTTTAAAAACTATTATTTACAATTTATTGATCTTGATAATGACTAATATTAATTAAATATTTCTTTTTTAGTTTTATATACTATAAAATCTTTAATAAAAAAAATAAATAAATAAATAAAAAAAAAAAATAATAAAAAAAAGTTTAAAAATGGATAATGTAAAATAAAAATATATGCATATGTATATATTAATGCCAATAAAATGTAATTATTTTTATGGCATTTAATTATTAAAACAAAATTTAATGAATGTTTTACTATTAACAAATATACATAATGTAATATATTATAAATTTTTCTTTATTATATTTACAATAAATTTTTTCGCACTATACGCTATTGTGTAGAATATAAATTATAATAAAAACGAAAAAAGCTTCGATATTATCTTGACTAATGCATTATATTTAATATCGATTCAGTATTATCATATACAGCTTTGCTTCTTTCAATATTTTTACTCGATAAGATATATAACTAAAAGATCACTTATATAACAAAAAACAATCACAAAATTTGATGCATTATTCATTAATACCTAATTTACCTTATTATCATAACGATATCTTTCTATTTTTACTTCTCTCTATTTAATGCTTGTATAAATTCTTCAAGTTTTTCCTGAATTTGTCGAACACGCTCTAAAAATTAAATATCAATTTTTAAATAATTCATTTTTAAAATAACTTAAATTATGATATATTCATATAATACAAGAAGAAATTTCGTTAATGAATTATGTACTTTTTAGATTATAAAAATTTAATAAAAATTCTGTATCGTTCGTTATAATGTTGAAGTTAAACAAAAAATTGAAAATATTTAATACATTATTAAATTTTTCATAAATGTTTATTATGATATTATGATAATATGTCGTTAAATTTGTCAAGTTAAATTTGTAAAGCATAGTGTAGAAATTTAGCAGATAAAATTTCTCGTGCACATTATATTCAATTAGTTTTAAAACGTAATTCTTACTTAATTCTTCGGCCAATGTAACTCTTTTGCTTGTTAATAGTTTTTCTTTCATTTTACTATCTTGACTATAATCTTCTAGAGTTTCTTTTATCCCCTTTCCAAGCCTGCGAGCTTCTCTATTAACAATTTGTTGCCGTAGGGCATTAGCAGTAACTTTCAGCATACGTTGAATACGCCAAAACATTACGATATCAATACATTCCTATAAAATATAAATATTATTAAGAAATGGGAAAAATTAATATTCAATTATTATACGGCATTGCTATAATTTACATTATCTAAACCATTTTGATATAAATAAAAGCCCTTTCTGCAATCATATGCTCTCATTAAACTTTGTTCTAGGAAAGATTTTGTATATACAGGATCCCATATTTCTTCTATCTTTTCGTCTTCAACTTCAAATCCATAATTTCGTACATTTGCTTTTATAACTGCTAATTCACTATGTGTTAGCATCGGAAGGTGTTTCTAAAACAATATGAAAGAAATTAGAAAATTATATTCAGCGAATGAAAATCTTTTACAATTAAAAGATATTATATATATATATATATATATATATATATTATTAAACAAAAAGTTCATAAAATTATTTATAAATAAAATGTTTTAAGGCGCTGAATATTTCGTTTGTAGAAAAATTATAATTTTTAGCGAAATAAAATTTCTTTAATAGATATTTTACAACTTAATATTATAACGGTTCAGCTAATAAATAAACTAACGAATTATTTTTATTAACTACGATAAATAAAATGAATATCAAAACATATGTTTAACATTTCCAAAACTGCATAAAATTATTCTATACCTCATAATTTAAAAATGTCTAATCATGATGTACAATCATGTAGCATTTCGTTTTAAAATATAACAAAAAATATATATTCTATTTTCATCTGTATTACATTATTTATTAACTTTTACTTTTACGAGACACATTACCTGATCGAGATATAAAATTTTATCCAATTCCCCTTTAATCGCGCTACGCTCTCGTTGCTCTTTATCAAGGTATTGCCAATACAACCAACGCTCCGAAAAACCCGGTCCAACTAGATTCTTTAATATTTTATTATTGATTTGAATCTTTTCTTTAAGAGCATTTTCAAGAAAACGAACTGCTTCGTCCCAGTTTTTCTTATCGTTTACGCTTCGATCTTCAAGAGTATTAAACTGAAGAACTCGCAACATGTCCACAGCCTGCGAAACAAATACAACAATTACAATTGCTTCTTGACTTGCTGTGACGATAAAATACCAATTAATATTCCGATGCTACATAACAGTAAGAATAAATATTTATACTTTATTTTCCCAAGTGAATTTTGACGTGGCATCTTGAATGACTGCTTCAATTAAATTATCGAAAATACCATCGTGCTTTGTATTTATTTTACTTTCATTTATGAAATTGTTGATTTCTTGTTGCAAACAATCCCAACCAATTTCAACACTTTTAGTTGGTAACTGATGCTCCGCCCAATCTCTTAATTTAATATCTACAATTGTGTTAAATGAACCTATAATGTAAGAGAGGAAAAATAATTTAGGATATTTAAAAAACGTGAGTAATATTAAAAACCATTGGCGATATTAAAATAAAAACAAAAACCTTACTCGCATTTCTCGTTTGAGCAGCAGGTATGTATATGCTGTCAAAAACGTGACTACTAAATGTTTCCCATAAACGCTTTTGTAAAATATCTTCCCAATTTATAGGAGAGACTTGAGACAATTTAATAACTTCGTCTAAAATTTGCATTCTTGCCCTTTCAAACAGCTCATCTCTATCTAACTCTCGAAAACTAAATAATAAAAAAAAATTCTCATTATTTGAATCTATTATATCTAATTAAGCATAATAGGTGAAGTTATTTTTATTTTACCTTGGAAAAAGATTTTTCCACTCTGTTTCTAAATTATACCGAGTAGCTTTAAAAGCATCAGCTTGCTGTTCAACGGTTTCGCGCACCATTTTCCAGAAACATTCAGCGACCGCTAAACTCAAATTTCCAGTAGTAACTTGACTTGATAATGCTAATTCACCTCTACAATATGTCATTTTATGAATATTGAATAATATTAAAGTCTACATATGGTTTTAATATTTTTATGAAAAATTTGCAATCACAAAAGATTAATTTAATTCTAAAATTGCATGAATACTAATGAATGTGTAGTAAAGTAGCTTAATTTTGAATTCAAATCGTTGAAGAGAATTCTAAATTTTACATTTATCATAACGTATTAAAGTAATACAAAATTACAAAACGTAAAAACAAAATAAGAAAAAAAAAGAACATATAATTTCTAATTTAAATAATTTAATTACTTAATTATTAAATTGAACAATATTATTATTATTATTTACGAATTACTTACTTAAATAATTTTGAATTCGAGAAAAATTGTTCTTCGTAATTCTTTATCGCTTGAATACCATCATCCTGCCTCCCGCACCCAGTAACAACGGCAAAATATCCCAATGCTTTCATTGGAAACAATTTGCCGGACAAAATTTTTTTTAATCGATCAGGATTTGTCATATTTTTCTCAGCCAAATCTACCTGTGAAATTAGTTTGACTTGAGTAAAACAATACCGTAACTAGTAGAAATTTTTTAAATATTAGAAATATAGATAATTTCAAGACACTAACCTTAGTAAGAACAAAAATAGTACGTTTACCGGTAGGATCCATTTGTGAAACTATATCAGTTACGTTACTTCTTTCCGCATCCACAGATCCATCCTGAATACACAGGATAATAGCATTTGGATTGCTCATATATTGTTGTGTTATTTGGCGTATATCATCCCGAGTATTATTCGACATGTCAATTGTAACTGTCTAATAATGTAGATAATGATGTAATTAACTTGAATTAGTTTACAAAATTATACAGGTTCTATAATTACTTATAAAACCAGCTGTAGCATCTTATTTTAATAATTGAATGTAACAATTATAATGATCATTACATTTAATTATTAAATGTTCATGATAATTGAAAAATGTTGAAACATTTTTTCTCAAACTTTAGAACGTTCATTCATTTTACTTCCATAATGATTTTTATAAAATTTATCTTAAAATATCAAATCAAAATGACAATTTCGCTTACACTAATAATTCCTGGTAAATCCACTAGAATCATGCGCGGTAATCCTGGACCTTTAACAGTCATAGCTATGACATCATGGCTTATAGTTTGTCCATCTTTTACGTTGTTTTTCATACGCAATTCAACTTCGTTTCGAAGTTCCGCTAGATCGGATTCTTTAGTTAAATCGAATTCCCTCATACTGTCTTTAAACTGTGCGATATGATAAGGTCCTTCGCTTAAAGTGACTTTCACTGGTGATCTAGTCATCATTTCTCCACCACCCCTAAAAATAATGTTTGTCTTATACAAATTTAATTTAATTATTGAAAATGGTAATTTATATTTGGCTATTTTTATTATTTCTACCTTGGAAAAATTCGTGCTTGAGCTATCATTTCAAGGACTGAAGTTTTTCCGGAACTTTGGTCGCCAACGACTACAACTCGTGGCAAATGATCAGTTATCGAGTTCGTACTGTCGTAATCGTTGAGTTCATCTAATACTTCACTATACATATCGATAAGTGATTTCTGAAATATAATTATATTTACTTACAATTTTAGCAATATATAAGATTATAGAGGTTTATAAAAATTTTACTTTGATTTTTCGATCGGAATCCTTGAGCTTTCCTCGAAGTAGTATTTGCTTCCTTAATTCTTTATTTTCACGCTCAAGTTTTTCGAGTTCTCGTTGATATTTTAATTGTATCTGCATCACTTCGTCTTGCATTAAATCTAGCTTTTGTTGTGAATTTTCTAAAAAATTTAATTTTCAAGCTATATATAAAATTAAAAAATACAAAACTTTACTTATTTCATCTAAATATAAAAATATACTATATTTCAATTTCTCTGTTTCTGTCTCACTAGTTTCAGATTCAGCGAACGCTGTTACATTTCTAACTACCTCTTCTTTGATATCTAAAAAATATATAACAATATCAAATATTAACTTAAGATTTATATGCAAACTGTATTAATTATTACGTTAGTTATTGAGTGAATAATAAATTGTAACATAAATAAAAGAACAATAGAAAAATATTAGTCATGCAAAACACATGGATCTGTCCCATTCAGTATGTAATGAGAAATATATCGATTATCTAAAAATGTTGCTGTAAAATACAAAAGGCTGAATGGACAGACAAAAATATGTCTTTTTTACACACCTGAATAAATTTGGTTCAGAAAGGCTCTCATCACTTCTACTTCACCTGAACAGAACAGATCAAAGTATAAGTAACAAAATGAAAATAATAAACGTTATTATATTACTTTATATTCAAATTAACAGATGAAAATCTTATATAAAAATATTTTAATTTATACAATAATAAAATATAGTTCTTTATACTACTTAAGAATTTTGATTTTAAAAATTTCTACAAACTTCATATTACTTTGAAAAATAAAATAAGCATTTATGTTACTAAATTAGTCGACAACTTGGCGGATCAAGTGTATTCGAATTTTAAGAACATTAACTTACTGAATGAATTATTACCATTTACAATGTCATTAGTTCCATTGCTTTCAGTAGCTTTAATGGCATCGTTTAATCGCTCATTAAACCACTTCTGATATTCCTTAAATTTTTCATTATTTAGATTCTTTAGATGTCGTTCTATTTAAAATTGTTAATATATCGTCACTGCTTTTGTAAAAATTATTTATAATGATTAGAAATTAATATTATATACCAAGTTCAAGCGAATCGGCCATAGAATCTTTAACAGATATCAACGATGATCTAAAATTATCCCATTGTTTCTCTGTTGGCATTATTTGACTTATCCAGGATGTATCTGGTAAACCTTCTTTCCATTGTTCATATTTCTATAAAACATACATGTTAGTATCAGCAATTATCTTTACATAATATAGAAATCTATTAAAACTTATAAATTAATAAAAATTGTTAAAAAATTGTTTATGATTATTCAAAAAAAATCAGCCAATAATTTATGTACAGCTGATAGTATTGTATTACAATTTTATAATACTTCATTTTAATATTAAATTGTCGTATTAAATATAATTATTACCTTTTGTAATGTAACGCTTCCTCCAACTGCTCCACCAAGTAAAAGATATCGTATTTTTAATGCTTCCTTTAAAATCTTGATTATAATCATTATTTATTTTGGTGAATTTGTTAAGATCTAGATATTCGAATTTTGCACTAATGACTTAATAATCTTGCAATAATTATAATTAAAATGTTTACGTTTTAATTCTCATATTCAAACATTACGATGACTAAAAACGATATTCAAAAACTTTTATCAGAACAAACATCGATTATATAACCAAACCTGAAAGTATTTAATTGTTTTAACTTTACGATTTTAAACAATTTTGATTGTTACAGTTCAAACAATACTTTCAATGTGATATGGTCAATAAAACTATTCAAACTACTGTACACGTGAAATCATAACCTACAAATTTTTAAAGATATTCTAAAATTAAATCATATTCAGATTTTTCAAACTAATCGAACATTCAATGTAACAATTATAAAATTTTATGCTTATTAAAATACTACTATAAAACTAAAAATTAAAAATTAGTCAAATGTTCGTGTCATATTCACTCAGAGTTATACAATTGAACATTTAAAATTTCCATAAAAATTACAATATAGCAAAACTATTGCGCAGTCGTTAATCTTAAGATCTCTAGTGTGGTGAATGTGATCGACAGATCCACCATTGCCTTCAACCGCTAGTCTGCGCAAATAATTTTACTCCCATTGGCTGGCGGCTACCTTTTCCGTAAACCCAAAAAAAAAAGTAAAAAAAAAAGAATTGAAAAAAATGGTCCAAACGAGTTACATAGTCAATATCCACTAGGCGGCTTAGTTTTAATATTCGCCTACTTTCCAAAGTGTTTCTTTACGATACAACCAATTAATTCCGAACTATATTCTACAAATTTCGAAAATAAATAGTTATGTAATTCTTTTATAGAATATTTTTGTTCCTCTTAGAGGTGAGAAGAGAGGCAAAATCACTCTGTATCTCAATTTTACACGTATAGTTTGATCGATTAATGAAGAATCGTTTTAATATTCTACATTCGTTACATACGAAGCTACTTTGTCCCACTTATTTCGCTTTGTGATTATCTTCTCATCTGCTATGCCTTTGTATACCTTCAATTTTCTTAATACTTAAGAAAGAAAAAAAGAAAAAGAAGAAAAAGAAGAAATAAAGAAAATTAAAATTAATTAATCACAAATTCAAGACTATTTTTAAAAAGTATGCGAATAAAATAGGATTTGTTTACAACAATTAAATGGTCAATTCCAAAGATTCATTACACGTGTTAATGCAAATAAAAAATTTAGTTATTTCTTTTACTTCATCATCGACATTTACTACAGTTTTTGTCTGTAGATATAAACGAATCAAAAAGATTTCATGAATTCATTGTTCTGTTGATAGAAATGTTGAAGAATAATTTCACAATAATTTTATCTTTAATATTTTATGCTAATTATATTGCGTGACTGTTAGCATGATTATATAATTGAAATTTGTATTCTGAAGAAATATTCGATGTTTCCTTTCATATTTATAAATCATCCGAAATTAAATTTATAACATTTATAATTCAAATTTGTATCCATTAGTTGTTTATCTAATACCTCGCTAATTCATACATTAAAATTATTATTATATAGTAAACTATAAAATCACACACACACACGCACGCCCGCACGCGCGCGCGCGCGCGCACACACAGACACACAATAAACTTAATTACAAGAATTATTCTAAACACCTACGCTACTTACTATTACTTATTAATTACAATCAATTGTAATTAAAAGTTTCAAAGCTGTCAAATGTATAAATTTATAGTAAACTAAAGCCTCAAAATATTCATTAACATCAAAGCAACATTAATAACTATTTAATTTACTATTTATATAATTCAATATAAACTTTAAAATTGTTTAATGCGAAAGATTTAATCATAGTGTAGTTTAGAATAACGCAAAGTAAATATGAATAATGGCCTTTTTAAAGGCTCTTCTTTCTCGTTAAATTAACTTAAGAAATTATTTAATAATTATATTACATGGTCTCAAAGAATTCATGAAAATATTTTAAAAAGTACACATCTTAAGGCCAATAGATTTCACACGATTCGTTAATAAATATTTCATTCTCTGCTTTGCAAAATATTACCTTATTTTATCTTTGAAAAAGTGTAGCTTCGCACACCTTGATTGCGGCGGCAAAGTTTCATCATGTGATTCTATCCTCTCATGCTCTCCTCTTCTACCCCCAATCAGCTTCGTGTATTCCTCCGCCTTTAGCGGTCCACGAATCTCAAGTTCTCGCACACCACAGCTTTAGTATACATTGAGTACTGGACTGAACGGTCAATGGAGTTGGCTCCCGAGTTGGGTAAACATTGGCTTATTTCTAATAAGCATAAGTGAGGTTAGGAAAGTTCTGTTTTCAAAAAGAAAGTACGTGCGAAAAGTTGTTTAATACATTCGTCTACGGTAGTATCTTGAAATATAAATAATGGCTGAAAATGAAATGGATACTTGTGAAGATCAGATAATTGCCGACGATGTAAAGACAGCTGGACAACCTCTATCAGACTTCTTGTTACAATTAGAAGATTATACGCCGACTGTAAGATAACTCGTACACACGCACACGCACGCACACAGAAACACACATAAAATTATTATTTTATTTACAAAAGCATTCAATTCCTAACTATTTTGAACAATTTTAGGTTCCAGATGCAATTAGCGAGCATTATTTACACACTGCAGGTTTCAATACAACAGATCCAAGAATGTTTGTATTATTTTGCGTTATAATGGTGTACAGTCTAAGGGTTTAATGATTTTTTAATTAATAAAAAAAATTTTATTCCAGAGTACGATTGGTTTCATTAGCAGCTCAAAAATTCATATCTGAAATTGCTAATGATGCTCTCCAACATTGTAAAACGAGGGGAGCGAATCAAAATACTAAAATAAAAGGAAAGGACAGAAGATATACATTAACAATGGAAGACTTAACTCCAGCGGTAGCAGAATACGGGATAATAGTTAAAAAGCCCCATTATTTTGTTTAATTCATTAACTTTGTTACATTGCACGGCTAACAATTAGATCTCATCATTTTTATGAAAAAACCAACAATAAAATAATCAAAATTTAATGTTTTAAAATAATAGTCTCAAACAATATCGTTAGTTTATTTAAAGAATAATTTAATAAAAAAATATATATGTATAACAAATAATAAGATAATTATTGTAATTATTAATCTAATCATTATATTGAATATTTAAAGTAATTTTTTTTGTACATCTGCGAATTATTGTTTTTATATTTTAAAATGTATCAATGTAATTATATTTGATTTCCTATATTTTTCATACATTTTTAATGAGTAGACTTACATAGAAGAAGACTAATTTATTATTTTATTTAAGGTATATTATATTTTTTTTTTGGTATTACAATTTATAATTCATCTAATTAAATAAAGATTATACACTAATTTATTGGAATAATTTATTTTTAATATCAATTTAATAAAATTTTATTTAATATAATATGTATAATAAATATTCATAATAATATAATCATTGAATAAAAACAATTTCAGTGGCACATTTTTGTTTAATCACAATAATATTTTTTCATTCAAAATAATTTTTAGTCTAAGAATTTTTTCAACACAATGTACTAATTTACTACTATTGATATTTATTTATAGACATAACATTGTTATGTTAAATAACATTTATTTAATAATTGAAAAATAAAACGGTAATTTCAAATAACATATAACATCTAAAACAGGATTTCTTATTTATTTGAAAAGCCACCAATAATTTCAATAAGCAAAATGTATGTATTTGTCATATGTATATATATATGGAACATAAAATAATTGCAAAGTATATATATTTTAATAGTTTGGCTATATTGGAAATTGCAAGAGAATAGATTTCGTAATCTTTAAATTAATCTAAATTCAGCTTTTAGAATTCATTTTGGCACGTTTTCAATCAAAAAAGAGCACACGGCAATTATAA